GAGGGAGGGAGAGAAGGCGAGAAGGCGGCGGCGCTAGAATAACGAGCGGAGGTAACACTAACGATAACGTAAGACTAATCGTAACAATTCACCAAAGCGTGAAAAATAAGAGGAGGAAAGAAGGAGGGAGTGGGCGGGAATAGCGTGAGCGAGGAGAGAGAGAGAGAGGGAGGCAGGAGGTCGGTTCGGCCCCGCGCTGAGGCTTCTGACAGCTAAGCGGCGTGGGGTAGAAAGAAAATGTTGCTGCAGCGGGCTCGCGGAGAGGGAGCAGGGCCAATGGTGCAGCTCAGCGTTGGAGGTGAAAACGCACGAATAACCACAACCTCAAGAAAAACGCGGGACTTTTACCAAGACCCGCTGCTCCCGTACTTGCTGCAGTGCATTCACCCAGGGCTACGCGGCGCAGTGGAGGTGCAGGACCGCGCGGCGCTGCTCCGAGGCGCCCAGCTGCTGGTGGAGCACGGGACACCAGACGAGGTGGCACGCCGAATCGCGGTAGGAGTGCGGGAGGGCGACCCCAAAGGGGAAGATCCCTCCGTGCAGGAGACTGGCGACTTCGGGGCGGACATTCTCCTTGAGCCCGCCTTTGTCTCTCCCAGTTCGGAGTTTGCCTCCTTTTACGACGCGGATGAGGAGCTTCAGCGGCGGTGCCACCACTTCCTCCTAACCTTTACGGGCGCCCAGGAGGCATACAACGTTCCATACGATGTCCAGCGTCGTGTCGTGCCGGTTCTGTACGCATGGGTTGTGAATTGGGAGTTTCTTAGGCGCAACACGGAGTGCTGGGGGAGCGTCGCGGAATGCTTTTGTCGCGTGGTCCGTTCTCGTCGGCGACGGTTTTCGCTGCGTCCGGACTTTGAACTTCCGTGGCGACCACTTGTTGAGATTTTAATGTCGCTGTTTTTTCAGTTTGGCGTGATGGACCTGAACGTTTTTCAGGTTATGCGGAAGATCGCCGGGCGGCACTTGGAAGAGCTCTGTGAATTGGCCGCACTACACTTTGGCGCAGACGCCTGGCCGGGTCTGTGGGAGACGTTCGCACCGTACTTCTGCGAGGATCGCGAGGAGGCGCCGATGACGCTGTGCCTGCTCTGCCACCTATTCCCTGTCCACCAGCTTGCGGACGATGCGACCGGGGCGGCGCTGCCGCTCACGGAGCGCATTGTGAAGTTTCTCCTCGATGACGCGCTTTACTGGCAGCAGCGGTCCGGGAACTGGCTGGCGTACTCGCTCAAGATTCTCTTTAAGATGTCGCTCCACCACGTGGGGGTGGTTGACTTTGACAGCTACGCCGAGCCCCTGTTTTCCGCGATGCTGTACGAACTGCACCTTCCCATTGCCGAGGGCATGGCAATGCCCGAGAAGGCGGCCGGGTTCGGGGTGCTTAGCCAAATTTCCCTCTTCAGCATTGGGGAGAACGAGATGGCTATGGCCGAGGGCTGCGTTGGCAACATGCTCCCGCGTCGCACGGACTCCCCGCTGTGGAACCATTTGCAACGCTTCATTCACGCCACCAGTGTCTTCCTGCGCCCCAACGCCACGGATAAGGCGGTTCTGCGCCGCGTGTTTGCCTTCTACAGCAGCCTCGTGGCTGTCGTTCACCGCAGGATGAAGCGGCAGCGGAGCTACACCCGTGCGCGGACCACGCACCCAACCCAATGCGCGGGGCGACGCATTCCAGAGGCGTACCTGTGGAACCGCGACACCATAGACCGTTTCGTGGGGCTTGTGGCGCCGGTGCTGCGTCTCGCCTTGCACCATCGCCTTGAGGACGTCGCGCGCATCGTCGGCCTGCTCGCCTCCCTTTCTCCCCCCACCGTGCAGCAGCTGGTGTTGCCGTGCGTCGACGCCGGGATACGCGACCACGTCGGCTCATCGGCTCAACGTGCGCTGGCGCTGCGGCTTTTGACAAAGTCGCTCTTCCCACTCAGTGAGTGCCGGGCCACCCGCGACGAGTGCTGGCTTTTCCTCGCCGACGCGTTGCCGCTGCTGCTGCAGTGGGTGAGCCCCGGGGAGCTGTCGCTGTCGAGGCTGGTCCTGAACCTCGTCTTTCTCATCTGCTCCATGACGAAACTGCGTGATTTATTGGGAGGGCAGGACGCGGAGTGCTCCTTCGCCGTCGCACTCGTCGAGCGTCTGTTTGCCTGCGCTCCCCACGTGAAATTCGGTAAAGGGTGCGATTTTGACGTCCTCATACATGCCATGAATGCCCTCTCGCTTAACATGAGCGACGAGACACTTTCTTGCTGCATCTCCAGAGTGTGCAGGGAGGCGGACGCTCAAGGTTGCCTCTCCAACGCGCATGCCGTGAGTTGCCTGCTGGAGCCGATTGCCCGCCGTGCCCCTGAGCGCATGATGCGTTGGGCCATCCAGCGTTTTGCGCCGCCCCTGCAGAATGCGTCTACGTCCCACTGCGAGGTGCAGTGGTGTGCACATCTTCTTGCTGGGTGCATCCGTGGCGCGGGGCTCGCCGGATTCTCGCACCGACATGAACTGCTGCGTTGCATTCAGTGCCAGGTGTCGTTCATCACGAGCAAGGAGCGACTTCTGACGGCGGCTGCCCTGTACACCGCCGTGTTTGCCGCCTTCACAGAAAAGGTCTGTACGGAGGCGAAGGCGGAGGAGGCGCCCGTGTCGAGCACCGATGACTGGGCGGCGCAGGACGCGGAGGAAGTGGACGCCGACAGCAATCAGGACGCGTTTGAGGTGAGTATGTGCTTCTGTCGAAGCAGCACTGTGCAGATGACATGGCGGGAACCCACAGAGGCGCATCTTGCCTACGTGGTGGATGTCTACAGCCTGTTTATTGAGGACATCGTGGACACGGTCCACAACATTGAGCGGGTGCTGCCCCCCGCCGCGGCCGCGCGGGGCGATGGGCTGAAAAGTCTACTCCACCTCCCGACCGACGATGCATCTCAAGCGGCCAGCCACGAGGGGGCGGGGAGCGCGCCGGCGGCCGCCACGCCCACCGCGGCGCCCTTAGAGGCGAACAGTGACGCCTTTACCCCTAAAAACGTGCTGCGTGGGGTTATACTTTGGTTGCGTCTCGTGCTTGAGATTAACCAGGAGTGCCACGGCTCTGCCGGCGCCAACGGCAACAGCAACAAAAAGAGTAACATGGTGCCTTGGTGGGTGCAGGATCCAAAATGCACGTTGCCGTTGCTGCCACCCGCGTTGGTGTCCCCCGCTCTCATGCTTGTGCCGGAGCGGATACACAGACTTCTGATGGAGCACACGCTCCGCCGCATGGCGGGGAATATGGCGGAGGAAATTGTCATTGCGAAGGCGCTGCATTTAGACCGCAGCCCCGTGACGCATGGAATGCCCCCGTTGGATCCCACGCAGGCGAACGGAGTGGACCCCCGTGGTCTTCACTTGGTGCTGACCGTTTTAGCGGAGCTGTGCAACATCACCCCTGTGGCACCCCTGCAGTACGACCACTGCCGCATCTACACCCAAGGACCAGAGCTATTCGGGAGCAGTGTCGTGGAGCCATTGAAAGAGCGGCGTTATTTACCTGCCCTCTTCTGGCGCATGAAGGCAGAGTCGTACACGTACAAACGCCGTTTGCTTTTGCTACACACTGTGTCACCGAAGCGGCTTACAGAGCTGCTTTCGGTTGCCCACACTTTTCTTTTTTCACCGTACCTGTCAATTCAGGGTAATTGCTCTCAAATTTTGAGTGAATGCATACCGATGATGAGCTGCGCGGCGACGCGTCGCTTTCTCTCTCAGCACCTCTCAGTGCTTGAGCACATTGCAAAGCTGTGGGCCGAACAAGACGACGCCGTTTGCCAGCTTCCGCCTCGTCCTGGCGCAGTTGCCACGGCGACGACGACGCCGACGACGACGACTTCTTCCTCTTCCAAGGTGGACACAGGTGGCGCTGACGCGGAAAGCCCCGCCGGGGGCCAGGCTGAGGGGCGAGCGAATTCACCCGCAAGCTCTGCAGAAGACAACACGCACCGCCGCGGCGGCGCAAGCGGCGCTGTCGGCGACGAGGATGAATACAACGACGCGGACGCCTTTGCTGGGATTGATGAGGGCGACGACTACAACGGCGACTACATGAATGAGCTGCGGACGCACTGTTTGTCGCACCTGCGGAGGATACTCACCAGCGCCCTCCCACTGGCCTCCACGGGCTTTGGCAGCTCCTGCTTTTGCAACGACGAGGCATTGATTTATCGCACCTACGAGGTGCTGCTGCATCTCCCGGATCAGCTTGTTGTGCAGCGGGGCAACTCTCGTGTGATGCCGCGGAAACCCCATGAGTTCGGTGGCCTTGCAACGATGGAGGGCGCCACTGTGGCGCGTTTGTGTGACAAACTCCTCTTGCTCGCACTGCAGTTTGCCCACAGGGCACCAGACAGGACGGTTGACTGCCTTTTGAAGATTGTTACCCTCTACCGTCCCTCGCAAATCGCCCTACTCTCCCCGCAGAGCGTGCCCATCATCTTTCGTCTCTCCGTGAACAGTCACGGCAAGGCACGTGCAACTTCGCTTCACATCCTGCAGACGCTTGTGTTGTCACTGCGGGAGCCGCATCCAAAGGCGTATGTCTTGACTCGACGCGGTGCCTTGGAGACGAGCGAGAATGTGGGATTTTTTCGCGCACGCTACGAAGTGCTGAAACGCGACTGCCCTTCTTTTTACGGCTTGCGTGATGTGGGGTTGGCCTTTGTGCCGAAAGCCATACGCGTTGACGCCGAGGATGTGTCTCCCGACATGTTTCATGACGGCGAAGCGGCTACGGTTCCCGCCGCAACTGTCGAGTTTCGTAAGACGTACACAGAGAGAGGAAAGGACGACACCACCAACCCGGCTCAGGCAGGGCTAAAACAGCAACAGGAGCGTCTTGCACGAGAAGAGCTGAAGCGGGTCATTGGCCATCTTTCTGGCATTCTCGATACTGAACTTAACCCGCCTACCGCTGACGAACCCGGTCTGGAGGGGGCCGCCGCGGCGAAGTTGCGCGAGGGGTGGATATGGAAGGTGATGCAGCTGCGCCATGAACAGAAGACCTTTTCCGAGTGTCGAATGCGTGTGTGGAAAGCCATAGGAAAACTATTGGGGGTGGAGCCGTCGGTGCGCCTCTTTACGCGCTTGTCGCGTTTGTGGCTAAGTGACTTTGTCACACTCGCGCGTGGCGGTGGCGCGACTGCAAAGGAAAGCCCCCAGTGGCTGTTTTCGTGCGTCTTCGATCTCTTGGTGGCCGCCATTCGCATGTCCAAACGGCACCCTGCTGTGCGGCAGGAGGTGCTCACGTGCTACATCGACGCGCTGCGACTGGTGTGTACCAGTATTTTGGTGCCGCATGGCGTACTGGTTTCCTTTTTGCAGAGCGTTGCGGCCCTAGGCGAGGCACTCAAGGTGGATGAGGTGTGGTCGATTTACGAGTTCCTCTTTGCGGCGCTGATGCCGTCGCCGCCGAGCGCCGCCGCGGCTACAGATCCACCAAGCACGGAGGAGGACACGGACACAGTCGCGCAGTGCAGTACCTCGTGCTGCTCTGGGAGGACGCAGGAGTTACAACGGGTGTTGAGCGTCATGGTGCACCTGCTGGGCGTCTTTGCGCACGAGGTCAATGTCGAGCTTCTGCCCCGGCTCTGTGAGCAGGTGCTGCGCAACAAGGAGGTATTTCTCTACAGCCTTTCCTCCTGTATTCAAGGCTGGGCTGCTTGTGTGATTTCAGAAATCATGTGCCTTTCCTTGTGTAAAAGTGAGTATATCCCTCCAAATGTCAATGCAGTGGGTGAACTCCTGCGGTTTGTTGATCGGATAGAGCGATTGGTTGAACTTCCACCACCGCCGCAGCCGGAGCCGCAACCGACGCTAGCGCCGTGGAGTGAAACACCTGCATTGGGGGCAGCACCACTGCCACTTGTATCCAAGTTTGCTGCTACCGTTGGGCCGCCACCGGAGTGTCCAATGGACCCCTCTCTGCCGCTGGTTGAGGGTTTTAGCCTTGACTCTGGTCGTTGCACGATGCCAGCCGCAAAACTTGCAACCGTAAAGACATTTGTTGCGTGCTGGGCCAGGGCAACCCCGCCCCTACTAGCCTTGCGTGCGCAGCCGGTCCTCAGTGTTCTTGTGCGTGCGCTAGACATCGCTATGCCTGAGATGGATGGCTTGACGTTTCAGGTGGAGTCGGCGTTGCAAAGCATCGCCTGTGTCCGCTTGCCGAAAGGCACGATTCAGGATATGCTGCAGATGCTGTGTAGCATCCTCAAGGAGGAAAGGCCGTATGGTAAGTCGCGTCAGGCCAAAGTTGCCCTTAGTCGCATGCTCTGTCGTGTGCTGCTTAACAATCTCCATCGTATTGGCAAGTTTGCGGCCATGCAGAATGTTGCAGCTGCGGCCTTGGCATCTATTGGCCACGGCGATGGGCGCGTTCGCAGTGAGGGGAGGTTGCTTTTGGCGGTTCTCTCACGGGTGGCGTCGGTGGAGCAGATTGAGCAGATTATTCGGGGCTACTTTCAGGAGCTGCGCGCCTTGTCGCCGGTGGCGGCGTCCATGGCGGGCGCCCACCCCCAGTCGCCGCTCACGCACCACGAGAATTTGCGCCGGCGCCGCCGCATCGCGTTGCTGCTCGCGTTGTGTTCGCTTTTGTCCGCCACGCCGGGGGTCGTGCCGCCGTACGTGCCGCGCCTGGTGGAGCGCCTGGCCGCCTACGCGAGCGACCCGGCACCGGAGGTGCAGCGGGCCGTGCGGCTGGCGTTCGACGACTGGTGGCGCTCGCACCGCGAGGGGTGGGAGCTGGAGCACAGGCCCCGCTTCGCCGCCGCCGGGGTCCACATCGAGGGCATGCTGCCGCTGCTCACCGCCCCCGCGTACCTCGTCTGAGCGGCGCCGCCAGGCAAACGCAAAAGCGGCCGCAGGCGGAGGCGGCGGCGTCGCACAAAGCAACAGCCGCGAGGAGGGGGGGAAAAAAAGACGAAAAGAAAAAGAAAAAGCAACAAAAACAACAGCAACAACAACAACGACAAAATAACAACAACAACAAAGAAATGAAAGGAAGTCAAGCACGGAGCTTCACACAACAGGAACGCCCATGCAAGCAAAACACACACACACACACACACGCACACGCACACGCACAGACGAAATAAATAAGGAGTAATATGACGCAAAAGGAAAAAAAAAAACGAAAAAGGACGGTAATATAAACGCGAAGAACTCCGCTGCTTGACAGCCACAAATACGAATATGTAAGTATCTGTGTTTGTGTAAAGCAACCCTCTTGTTTGTTTGCTTCCTTTGTCTCTCACCCACTGTGCGTTGTGAAGAGGGCCTTTCGTGTGAGTGGAAATGACATGAATGGAGCGGAAAACGGAAGCGAGGAAAATGGGCGGCATACGCCGCCATTGGTGGGTAACTGATGCATAACGCAGCGCGCCTTGCGAAGTTTCTTCGCGGCGATCAAATTTCCTTCTGCCTCTATCGACACCTGCATCACGGAATAGAAGACGCATAACCCTCTGAAGGGGGAGGGGAGGGAAGAACCCCTCCCCCCCCCTCTCCCTCAAAAAAAGCCAAAACAAAAAAACAATCGCCATCACCACATGGAGAAGAGCGCTGTCAATTAATGTTTAATCAAAGGAACGTAAGGTCCTACTTGGAACACAAACAAGGATGCATGCACAACTGCATTCATAGACGGAGGGAGACACACCAGCATCTCCCTTTGTTTGTGGGTGGGTGTGCGTGCGTTCCTTTATTATTAATATTATTATTATTATTCTGCTTGCTGCTGCTGTTGCCTGCGTTGTCAACCCGCATCCACCCCGCCCCGTCTCCGCCTTGGCGATCTTGTTGTTCCTTTCGTCTCCTCTCGTTTTCTTTGCGTCTCTTTCTGCGCAGAAGCGTCATACCTCAAGACGTGTCTTGGCTCGTTTTCCTGTCTTCCTCCCTCTCCTCGTGATTGGCCGCCTGCGTGTGCTCCTTACGACGCTCCGCCTGGCGTCACCGGCGTGAAAAGAGAACGGCAGAATACAAAACAAAACAAAAAAAATAAGGAAATTGGGGCTAACTGCCTTGCGAGCGGTTGGGGACGATGAGCGCGGATCCAGAGGTGAGTACAGAGCCAGGGGTGCCGGAGGAGATGGCCGGGGCTGCCGCTCCGGCAGCGGCGCCGCGGCTGCCATTGCAGTCAGCCCTTCTGCGCGACGTGGAACAACTTCACAGTGCCGTCGTGCAGACCGCGTCGCTTCTCACGGAGACGACGGAGCAACTGTTGCCTATGCGAGCTGCACTAGCGACGTTGATGAGCAACCTGCGCCTATGTCGTCATTGCATACGAAGGAAAAAGGCAAATGGTATTGTTTCTCGTCTTTTGATTGCCGGACCCGCGCAGTCGGGGAAGAGTGCCGTATTGGATTTTATTTTTCAGCCCCGGGCCCAGACGACGCTGGAAACTGCGGCCATGGCTTCTATTTCACCTGGGGCCTCTACTGCGGTTCTTGTAGACGGGGATTGCAGCACGAGCTTGGATTCCACAAGGAGAAGATCCCTGCCGCCGCCGGTGAGGTTCCATGCGGCCCCAGTGGGAAATTACAGCATGAATCGCTCGAGTATTTGCAGTGCCGCCTACGGTACAATAGGCGGGTTGCTGTGCAAAAGGCCTAGTGGGTTAAATGAGGTGGAGGAGTGCGATGAGGTAGAGGGTATTCTTTGCCCGTCGGAATCCTTGACAAGCGCAGTTAACTCTCCGGACCGCGGCAGCAAGCTACACTCATGGCAAAATCCTGACGATGTTGTGCCGCAAGACGCGACTCTGTCACCCTTTCTTGGCGGCCGTGCACGTCGGCGACAGCCTCGTTGGAACGATGGGCAAAGAAGTAGACCGTTTTTAAAACTTGTGAAGGTCTCGCCGTTTCCTGAGACGCATTTGACGCGGTCTGTGTCGAGTGACGCTGCGTCGTTTTGCACGGATTCAACGCCGTTCCCTTGCGCACTGGTGGCCTCTGGTGGGTTTGAGACGACCGTTGTGGACCGTATTCGCAGGAGCCAATCTAACACGGTCGTGGATTGGCTACGACAGGGGCAGAATTACAGGTGCTGTTGTCTGACCAATGAAAGCTGCTCACCGCTGTCGCATAGCGGCGCTTCTCTTCTTCTTCGGCGGACGGCAGCGACGTCTGCCGTCGGTGTGGAACCGGATTGTGTCTCTCCAGGGCCATCTAAGCTGTGTCCAGCACACTCTTGGCTGTTGCAGGAGGGCGCAGGGGGCGTTGTGCGGGGCGAGCATGAAGGGACGTCATTCGTTCAGCTGCCTGACTCCCTCCGCGCCGAGGCGGTTTTCTTCACGCTTCCGTGCGAGCTGGTTGGCACGCACCGCATGCTGGCTGCCGTGAATAAACTTTTTCACCCCTTTGCTGTCCGCACTGAGGACGACGCCGCGGGTGAGCCTGCCACAACGCTGCCAGGCCAACAGCAGTGCCACCATCCGCAGAAAAAGGCACATTGTGCTCACGCTGCGGATGACAGAGAGGCTATTCGTCAGCTCATTTCGGACATGACGTGCTATGTACTAACCTTCTCTGACGCCATTCTCGTGCGTTCTGAGGGCGTGCATACGACGGACAAGCAACTCTCCAATCGGCCACCACCGATGGCGGGGAGTCTTCCGGAGCTCATTGCGTTGTTTCAAAAGGAAATGCGGCGACTCTTTGACGTTCATGTGGAGGATTGGCAGGTGATTCCTTTTAGTGGTCCTATGAGCCGCGTCACAAGGGATGCGCTTACGGCGATTTACGAGAAGCGCTTCACTACGGCGCGATCCCTGGATGTCGAGGAGACTCTACCATCTGCCTCCACCGCGGGCTCGCCGTTGTTTCCAGCGAGTTCCACCGCCTTGTTGCCGACACCACCGGTTGCAGGGAATACGGAACTGAACGCGCAGTCGGCAATAGCAGAGTATTGTGATGTCGTGTATGGCCAGCGATTCAAACAGCGCCAAGACCGTTTGTCGCCAGAGCAACTGGAGGAAGTCGTTTGGCAGCACGCCTTGAGAGACATGTGGCGCGCGTCGGGGGCACAGCAGCTTCTTCGCACGGCAAGATGCTTTGAGTGGAATTTCTTTCAGAACACTTTGTTTTACCTTGCCCTCTCGCTCGTGCTTTGTAGCAGGCAGCTGCAGTTGGTGCTACCACAGGCACAGAAATCGCTTCGGCTGCAAGTGAAAGGTGCCCAAAATGATTTGAGGCGACTAAAGCGGGAGGATGGCAGGGTGAGTTTGGTGCTTCGGCGACTGAGGGAGGAGTGCATCCCTCGGCAGATGTCCCAAGTTATTTTGCATAGGGTTCAGGAACAATTTGAGGAACTCACCCTGCGCTTTTGGTGGACGTTGGTGACGCTGCTGGACGAGGAGAATGTGCGCTATGATGTCTACCGCCGCGGCGAGACACAAATGCTACCCTCCTCTCCTCGTTACCCGCCGCTGACGCCATCGGCGTCGTCTGTGGAGGCGCGGGAGCGACTGTGCAAACGGTACCGCCGTTTTCTGGGGGCTTACGTGGCCCAACGTTACGAGACCCAAATGTCGCAACTGCAGTCCATCATTCGCGAGGCGGATGCGCGGACCGGCAACGCCACACTGGTGACGGGCGTCAATGGATGCCCGAACGATGCAGAGAGGACGCGTGAGTTGCCCTCCGGCGCTGCGTCTGTGTTGGCCCCCGACCTGCCGCGCCCTGCGGAGGACGTCAGGCACCACATTCCTTTTGTTGAAGCGAACGCGCGGGAGTTGAAGCGGACGATGCGGAAAGAGCTCTCCCTACTCGTTGCTCGCCTCAACACTGAGGTGATCAATTACTTCATGGCGGAGCTGGTAATTGCGTTGCCAGGGTTTGTCAAGGTGTGTGAAGTGCAGCGGGAGCTCGCGAAGCGGACAATGCTGCAGCTGGTGACTGCCGTGAACTCTGGAGAGGCGTACGACCCCACAGAGCGAAAGTTGCTGCGTTCAATGCTGAGTGAAATCCCACGCTTCCCGCTTCTTGAGATGCGGCCAAACCAGGAGCTCGAGACGTTTGTAACCGGGCTGCGGAGTGCGCTGTGCCAGGACCAGGTGAAGTTGTACGTCAAGCAGCTGGATGGGGGCTGGGACGGGCAGTGTGCGGGGTGTGCGGCAACGACCTCGGCGTACCTGGCGAAGTCGGAAGAGGAGGGCCACACGCGGCAGCTGCGGTCGCTGGACTTTGTTCAGCCGCGGAAGTCCAGCTTCCTGCGGCTGCTGCGCGAGCACCGCGACATCGCCTGGGCCCCGATGGAGGTGGCTGAGCTGACGCCGCCGTCGGCGCCGAGCCGGGTGCAGAGGTCGGGCTCCGTTGTGTTCAAGCGGCAGCCGTCGACGGAGGACGCTGCGGGGGCGACCGCAACGCCCGCGGTAGACACGTACACGGTGACCGCGAAGAAGCACCCACACGAGGGTGACAAGGCCACACTGAACCTATACAGCGACATTGTTGCCTCCAGGAGCAACCCGATCTGGTTCTTTCTTGCCGTGTGGCAGGAGGCACTTTCTGCGATGACGTTTTCTCCCTGGCTGCTGTTGCACGGCGTGCGCTATGCCACTCTGCTAAACAATATTACGTTCATTTTACTCAAGGGGCAGGCTCGGCTGGAGGCGGTGACGAGGGAAGAAAGCTGTAAGGCCGAGGCAACACTGCAGAGCCTGTGGCAAGAAAAGCGTCTCCTGGGGGAGGACTTGCCCTCCTCGCTGCAGCACCTCAGCACCACCGCCAAGGCCGTGGCCTGTGAGATGAAGTCGCTTAATGCAGATACCTTTCGAAGCCTCTCCGTCTGAGGTTGCTGTGGATAACCGTGAAAATAGGAATCTAACGCCGCGTATTGTTAATCGCGCGTATTTGACGGCGGTGTTTCTTGCTTTTTTTTTCCCCCCTTTCATTCCCACGATTGGAGTGACACACGTGCGCCGCGGATCTGCGTATGTAACCAGTTGGCGTGCATCGATCCACACACACACACATGCACGCGCGCGCACACACACATGCATGTATGTATATGTATGTATATATATATATATCTATTGCGGCATCAGTGAGACTGTGACGAGCGGTTCGCCTTGGAATTTGTGGTTGCAGCGGGTCAAAAGTTTTGTCCTCGTTCCGTACTTATTACCCCCCTTCCGGACCTCTTTGTGTTTTTTTTTCTGTTTTTCATTGCCCTGAGAACTCGCGACTATGTCGCCCAAATGAAAGCAGGGGGGCTCACTTCGCAGCACGGGCGATGTTCTCGCGGCACTTCAGCCAACACGTCCCCGCTAAGAGCCGCGTGCTTTTCCCACTCGCGTTTGCGTAAGAGTTTTTTTTGTTCTTTCTGGCTTTCGTTTTTTCCTGCGATGTTGTCTTCTCTGCTGCCTTTTTTTGCGCCCTCATGCGTCGACCGCAAACGTTTTTGTTCGCCACCGCTGCGAAGAGGCAGAAGCGGCGGACATCACCGCTGCACGGAGGGGAGGCGGGTGGTGGCTGCGCATAGAGGCGGCGCACCCGCACTGCACACACTCAGAGCGGTGGCGAGGGAAGGAAGGAGGGAAGGACGCAGCAAGCAACAGCGGCAGCGGTTTAAAGAAGGAAAGAAAAAACAAAACGAAAACAGCAACAGCAACAACAAAAAAGTGAACAATGACGGACGCCGCCACGGCGTCCGCCGTGCGTGATTACACGGCAATATTTAGTGCGGCAATGCCACCGGTCCTTCGCAGTCAGTCCGGCACCTCCTCTGCGCTGCTGCAGTCCGCGTCAGCCGCGCTGGCAGCGACGTCGCCGAGCTGCCTGGAGTGGCGGCCGTATCGTTCCGGGGAGATGGGTGGGCGCGGCGCGGCGATGACGAGGCTGCTGCTTGGCAGTTCCGGCGCGGCGCCGCACACCAGGCAGCTGGAGGCGGGTTTGCTGCGCCGGGAGGTTCTGCTCCGCGGGGAATTTGACCGTCTGCGCCATGCTGAGGAGGAACGCGTGCGCTGGGACCACCAGCGTGAGCACGAGGCGCGGCTCGCGGAGGAGCAGCTGCGGTTGCTCGAGACCGCGAAGGCAATAGAGCTCGAGCGCGCGAAGCGCACGGAGGAGCAGCAGCAACGCGTCCTGGCGCAGGAGCGGGAGCTGGAGGAGTGGAAGCAAGAGCGGGCAAAAGAGATGGAGGAGCAGCGGCGCCGACGCGTGGAGGAGGAGGACCGGCTGCGCGCCCGCCAACACGAGCGGGAGATGCTGCTGATGCGGGAGGAGGCGGAGCTGCGGCTTCAAACGCAGAAGTCGCTCGAGGGCCACAAACAGTCCATCGAGAGCACTGTCAAGGGGGCCGCGGAGTCGATGCTGGGGCGGCTTCGCGAGGAGTTCAAGGAGGTGGAGAGACAGTGGAGCACGCGCTTTGAGCGTCTGCAGCTGGAACACAGCGGCGAGACGGCCGCGCTGCGCCACGACATCGAGCGCGAGCGGCAACTCGTCGCCCGCGGTGAGGCGCAACTCTCAGAGACGCGGGCGCAGCTCGACAAGCTGCACACGCTGGTAGAGGAGCTGCGGCGGCAGAAGGACGGCGACGCACACAGCCGGGCAACGGAGACGTCGCTGAAAGAATTGCACCAAAAAGCCGTTGACCGGCTGCAGCGGGCCTTTGAGGAGGACAAGCAAAGCAGCAAGCAGTGGTTCATGGAGGAGCAGCAGCGCACGCAGAAGTTGCACGAAAGCGCCCTCCTTGAGGCGGAGGAAAAACACCGGGACCAGGTGCGTCGCTTGGAGGCAGCCCTAGATGAGGCAAGGCGTCAGCTGCGCGAGGCGGAGGGCGAGCTGCAGCAGTACAAGGTGAAGCTGCCGACGGCCGCGGCGGAGGAGGCGCGACTGCGGGAGGAGTTGCGGACTGTGCGCAAGCAGCTAAATGAAGCTGTGGACGCAAAGCAGCACGCGGAGCGGCAGTCTCGTGAGCTAGAGCGAGAGTGCGAAGATGGACGCAAGGCCCAGCAGGCGCTGCAGCTGGAGATGGATGCGGAGGCAGCGCGACACGGGGCGGAGCTGCGGTCAGCGCGCGAAGAGTGCGAGCAAGTCGCGGAGGAGCTCGCCCGTGCAAGGAAGACGCACGCGGAGGAGCTGCAGGAAATTCGCAGGAAGCAGCGCTCTGGCGGGAACGCCGTGTCACGTGACGCGACAAAGGAGGTGGATGTGACAATCCGACGAATGAACGAGCGCCACGAGGAGGCGAGGCGCGCGCTGGAGGCGGAGAAGGCGCAGCTGACGCGCCAGGTGCGAGAGGCAGAGCAGCGGCACGAAGACGCACGGCAGCGTCTAGAACTCGAGTTTGACAAACTGGAGGCTGCGCGGCGCGACGGCGAGCGGCTTAAGCAGCAGCTAGATGAGAAGGATCGCGCCGTGGCCGAACTGCAGGGGGTCGTTGAGGAACTCAAGCGGAAGGACGTCTCCGCCGCCGACGCAGCCGCAGAAAATCGCAAACTGCAGCAGGAATTAGAGCAGTTGCGCCGCAGCCACGAGGCCGCTGCGCGTGCCAAGGAGAGCGAACTTCAGGATTTGCGTCGCGACGCTTCGGATGCGCGGCGGCGGAGTGCTGCCTTGCAGGAAGAGTTGACGGCCGCGCAGCGAGTGCGGGGGGAGGTGGAGGTGCGGATGAAGCGTCTCGCGGACGAGGCGGCGCTGACGGAAAAACAACTTCGTCGCGAAGCGGAGGAGGCGACGCAGGCCGCGCAGTCTTGGAAAGACCGCTACACCCAGATGCAGACGGCGTCGGCGTCGTCGGCCCCAAGAATGCAGACTTTGCTAAACGAAAAGGAAAGTGAGCTGTCGCTGCTTCGTGACACCATAGACGCCCTGAAACGGGACAGGGACACGCTGGAGAAGCGGGTGCAAGAGGTCCAGACGACCGCTACCACGAGGGAGCAAGAGATGCTTGATCAGGCGACCACAGTGAAGGCGCTAAATGCCGAGATTGCCTCGTTGCGGGAACAACTTTCGACGGCGATGCGGTCAGCGAAGGCGGCGGCGCCGCATTGCCCGCCCCAGACGTTGGAGCACTCCCCCTTGCACAGGGCAACAGGCGCCGAGGCATCTCCCGACGCGCGCCTCGCACAAGCAAAGTCGACGGTAGAATCCCCTGCAAGCGACAGCCTTAGATTTGCCGCCACGGGAGCGCAGCCTCTTCCGCAAACGGCGCGCTCTGCTTCCGATTTTGTGAGTGTGTTCCCGCCGCCCGCTCCGTTCACGACGCCGCGAGCCCCCGCGGCAGGAAGCCCACCACATGCTCCCCCCCCGGATATTTCCTTGACGCCGCGCTCCTCTGCCACGGTGCCCCCGGCGCGGCTTCCTGAGGGGCTCTCTTTTTCTGCTGGGCATCAGTCACTTTCTACGGCTCGAGCATCGCTTCCAGTTGTCGATTCTGCAGGGGCGGGAATACTGAACTTGGGAGCACATGCATCCGTGCTTCTTTCACCACCTGCATCTCCGCAACCTGGCCATTCTGCAAGCGCTTCGCGGACGTCTTCGTTCACGGTGCCGGTGCCGGCGCCCTCGACGGCCCCGGCGGCGGCAGTTGCTCCTCCTCCTCAGGCAGCTGTGCCAATGCCAGTCCCTGCATCTCCGCAACCTGGCCATTCTGCAAGCGGTTCGCGGACGTCTTCGTTCACGGTGCAGGTGCCGGCGCCCTCGACGGCCCCGGCGGCGGCAGGTGCTCCTCCTCCTCAGGCAGCTGTGCCAA